ACGAACATTAGCTGGTAGCTGCCTCCGGCTTTGCGGCTCGCTCTATAAAACTGAGTCTATTTATTTATTTATTTATTTATTTATTTATTGCACGCAGAGGTGCGCTTTTACAACACTCGGGCTGGACACAGTAGAAGAGTGGAGTCTCTTTGATCTACGTGCCCTTATGAGTCCGTTATGTGCCTCACTATGCCTCTTCATAGCAATGAGCCTTTTAATATTGTTACGATGAACCTTGATGATTTAAGACGTCCAAAGAGAAACAGGAAGATGCCGTTCACGGCGCACGCTCGCCTACTATTGGGCGAGAAGAGAGAGACGAAGAGACCCTGGAGCAAGATGAGACAACGAATGAAAAAACAAATCTGAGTGGCACACGGAAGTTCAACGTAGCCTGATGGACCCACCAATTGACGAACGGTGAATAACGGTTCAGCCTCTTACCGTTTCTTTCATGAAGTCCGCTCTTTTGCCAAAAATGGCACAAACTCTTAATTATGGGGACCGAGTTATCGCGTACAAAGATCAATTCTAAATAGTCAATCGCGGACGGTGTTCCGGTAAAGCTGTAGGACAAGTTAAGTATGTAGAACTGAGTATCGTCACTTTTGCAATGATCGACCTCACCGCTTATCCATGCTTTCATCTTAGAAATGGGTATATAACAAAGTGAAAAGCTTGAATAAAAACAGCGTATATAAGCACCCCCACACGGTAACATGCCTCTCATTTAGCTTCTTACGTCTGTCACACCTCAACATGCCAAATCCCCCACCAAAGGAGGACACATGGGCGTTTCAGAAAGTTGGAAGCCCGTTTCCACCGAACCCCGTGAAAGTAAGATTTCTCGGACTTCCAATATGAATGTTAGAGTTCTTCTCAGTATGAATGTAATAGTTCTATGTTCTCATTACAGTGTCTTGGAGAACAAAACATGTACGTTGCACTGTGGTACAAACACGGAAAGCCAATTCACGGGCGATCATGGAACAACGGAGGAGTAGTCGAATGTTCGTTCCCGTATAAAAAAGCAGAATTGAGGACTGCCCAGCAGCTGGAAGGAAATATCCAGGTTCGCGATATACAGTTCCTTCTACGACCATGGACTTGCTTTGATTATCCCTGTTAAGGTACTTCAATACACAGGGGACCATAATACACAAGGATTCTGGTACGAGTGGATCAAGTATAAGGAAAGATTCGATAAGGCGGAAGGTCGCCAGCTAGTTCATTGTGGTGACTCCTTTCCTATTCTATGGAAGGACCGACCAGAGGTTAGTTTCAGCAACCTCATTAGATAATGCACTTTCAGAACCTCATGAACAAGGGCACTTGTCTGGAACAGATGTAAAGCGCGTCAAAACAAGAGATGAGCAGACTCTCAGTGCAAAACTGCTTGTAGACCGCGAAGAAGCAACCTACGTTTCGAATGCTCAGCGTTATCAATCATCGCTAAAAAGCGGACTCATTCCCATTTGTATGACCTCACTCACAGAAACGGTTGTACACTCTAGTTCGCTGCGGACGGTTGGGCGTGTCAGGCAGTATGAGTGTGTCACCCCGTCAAAGCCGTTCTCTGCCTTCTTGTTGAAGCGCGCATGCGACAAAAGTGGTAGAAAACGAGTAATACGAACGATATGATACAGTCATATCATTTGCTCGCTTTAACAACTGGTGGAGAACGGGTTTGGCACCGCGCCAAACTCATCCCGCCTGACACGCCCAACCGTCCGCAGCGAACTACACTATAACGCAAATGCAAACACCAGTCTTGGAAGAGCTATTTCCAGTGAGGTGCATCCACGTCATGTTTTGAGCCTAGCCTCGCTAGAGAAGGGCTCTGAGTCCTATCTCTTTCGACGAACACGATATGGCGGACTAGTTGAAAACATCGTCTGACAAGCATACATCCGAAGTCTGCTAAGATGCTTGTTCCGACAACGCACAGCAGGCGACAGCACAGTAGCACTTGAAATAGGCTCACAACCTTTCTCTTCACAGGTGCTAGAGTTCGATACCTCTCCTACTCTCTCTTGTCCGAGGCATCTCCTGTCGCAGTTTCCGGTTCGAGGAGTGATTTTCATGGGAATGTACTACTCTCCTTCTGCAGTCCTGCTCGCGCTTGCTTTTCCTGACCTTGTAATATTCGTAAGATGGTCCACTGGGTCGCAAAAACTGTTCAGCAGAATCTCTCAAGGGTTGCGTCTTTGTGAAGGAATCAGTGAAAAAATCATGGGAGTGAGAACACATACGAAGGGGAGGACGAGATACTGGGCAATATGTATGAATCGTGTACGCACCGCAATCCAACTGCTCTGAGCTGGAGAAGGACAAGTTCTACCTGACAGACCACGCCATAAAATCGACTTTGGACGGTAACTATCTCTGCTAGCTGTGCACAAAGGCTGAGGGATAGGAATAAGGAACGCTGAGGGAGAAGGGCTCCTCGGCCCATGATCAAGCGATCTGCTGCACCTTTCTTCGCCGTAAAGACTCAGAAGATAATCACAGGAGTGGAAGGAAAATCTACCCTGGTACCGGTGAGGAGAACGTCCTCAAAGCGATATAAATGTACTGCCTGGGGAAGAGCTGGGCCGTCAGCACAGGCCACTCCTAACAGCAATGCCATAGACCTCTCCCAAGAAAACGAGGGTGAGAACGGAGCGGGAATCTTAGAGTGAAAAATGCACCGAGTGGAAAAGGATAGCCTCTGTCGAAGAAGGTAGTGGTCGTTGGACTCCCAGACCTACACGTGTAGGTCCAATAGACCTGCATCAACGCAGTGGAAGCCACTCCACCCAGTGTGCAAAGGAAGTTCAGAGAGAACGCGAGGTGGGACGAGAGGAACAAGGTAACGTGGTTTCGGAACAAGGGAGTCCAGGGGATCGGTAAGTAGCAGAGGGAATAACGACACTGGCAAAAGAAAAGGAGCCTAGAGGACCTCGCTTGTTAGTGCTCAAACGACCCGCTAAGACTCGTTGCCACGCTCGAGAATACGGGAATGAAAGCCCTGCACGCTGGAGGGCTGAGAGAGGAGGGAAGGCCAATCTTTTGGTCTAAGCCCGTCACCGCGCCACTCAAGACATCAGGGCACTTAAACCCATGGAGGGCTGCAACGATGCCGTTACAAGGAATTTGGGCAAAGTCAGAAAGAGCCATGAAGAGTACGCTGAAGGAATACTCAACGAAGAGCACCCGCAGGACAGCTCACAAATAGAGGCGAGAGCGGGTCTGTGATCTCTGGACAGAGGATGAGGCCCGCAGAGCGTTAAGAAATACGAAGGCTGGGAAAGAGTAGGTACAGATGGAGGAGCAGCACAGTCATGCCCGTTTCACCATAGAAAGGAGTGCTCAGGCAACTGCGACATTAAGCTGACCCCGTAGCGGCTAGTCAACACAAAGCTTAGGGAGCTTGTCTCTCTCTTGCAGGAGCCGCTTCAAGCGTGAAAAGTCCTTCACTGTTGCCATACCGCCAGACAAAAGGTGTAGGTGATGGAGAGGTATCGAGAGACCCGGCTACCTAGTCTTCCTGGACCTTGAGAAGGCATACGACCGTCTACCACAGCCTGTTCTTTGGAGAGCATTCAGAGAACGATGCGTTCAGGAACCACTGGTCTCCATAGTGAAGGGGATGTACGAAGGAGCGAAACCAGCTGTATGCACCCCACGGCTTGACAAAGGAGGTAGACATCACGGTTGGGTTCACCAAGGATCAGCCCCAAGCCCGTCCCTCTTCCTCCTTGACTGTGGATGTCATGGCAAAAATCATGAAAACTGGAAACTGAAAACCTTTCCTCTTCGCTGATGAAATTGCCCTGATAGCGCATAGCAGAGAAGGACTCCAGGGCAAGGTGCCTATGGGGCAGGTTGGGCTCGCTCAGAATGGACGTTGGTTAAACGTAGAGAACACCAAGCTCCTGAGCTCAGAACAGTCTACCGAATCCCTCGTAGACCGCTGCCACGAAAACATGGAAAGCGTAGAAGCTTCCAGTAATTGAGGAGCCATCTAACAGCTGACGGTAGCGTGAACCAGGCGGTAAAGGCTTAAATGAATAAAGCCTGGATCAAATGGAGGAAGTCCACAAGCATCCCGGCGGTGCTCTGGAACGAACAAAGGTACGGGCAATGGTAACTCCGACGATGCTCAACATGGGGCCGCCTCTCATGATTTCTGTATATGGGCAGTGCCGGCCCATGTGCAGGCAATCATGAGAGACGGCCCTACTCAGCCGTAGTGAGGATGTCTAGGTAGGCCTGTATTAGACGCGGCCGGACAGTGTCAGAAACGGAGACCTCAGGGCGGTCACGCTGACGGTTCTGATCTGCCTGAACGCGCAACAGCGACTGCGATGGTAGGCGAATGTGCTGGAAAGCGCTCGATGAGGAGCACTGGACTTCAAAGTACAGGAGAACGATCAATAAGGATGCCACTGAACGGAATGCTACGATAGAAGATGCACTAGATCGAAACAAGTGGCGCACAGGAACATCGGGCACTGCGAAGGCGCGGGATTGATGCTAGAATGACGAAGGAGAAGACTCAGTCTGTATGTTCGCAATCAGTATTCGAGACTACCAATCCACCTGGTGTCTCTTCCTGATTGTGGGCTATCTTGGCGCGGTACCCTTCCAAAGGACTATTGAAAGTATTCCGCCACTGTCGCTCAAGTTCCAATAGCTGTATCAATGGCTTGCAGTTTTTACAGCTTGCCCCCTGTCTTCGGCAGACCGATTCTAAGATTCTACTCAAGAAAGGTGAACTTACATGCCCATGGAGCATCTAGCTTCTCGTACACGGCGTCCATTTCTGCCGCCTTCCTGGCTACAGCTCAGGGCATTTGATGCTCAGTGGAGATCACAACGGGTGAGGGAAGGTTATTGGGTGGAAACACTACGTCGTGCGTGATTGGAAAAAAGAATGAATACTAGACAGAATCTGTACGAGCTTGACGTTACTGTTACAGGGCACCCTTCTCGGTTACGCCGACAACAAAACTGAAATTGCGCTGTTCTCTTGCGATGGAAAAGTCTATGAGCAAAAAGGACCTCAGCTCAATGAGATGTATATTATAATGCGAAATACTGTTGGAGGACCACCATTCTGTGAATGTCCCCATTGCCCTAAGCCTGCCACCACCTCCGCCGACACCAGCTCCGGGACCACCACCTCCAAGGTGAGTTAGCACAGAAAAGTGAATAAAATGGATCATGCAAAAACTTGTCTCAAAACCGAACGATATGTATAGCGTACATTGAGGAATCAAGTCACTAAGTTCGGTTTTCCATATTCCCTCTAGTTCATCTGAAAATAGAGAGAAAGCAACGATGGAGAAAATATTGAGAAATACAACAGTATAATCAACTCAATGCAGGGTTATGATTGATGAATGGATGGATCTGCGTGCAGGCGATCCGTGGCCGGACAGAATTCTCGTGAAAGCCCTTGATAAGACACTGGACACAATCCCTGGAGAAAACCCAGACCAGTATGTTGCTCTGTGGTACCAGGCTGGAGAACCTGTCATGGGACGTATTTGGAACGAGGGTGGCAAGGTGACACTCAGTATTTCAAGGACTAGTTCTTGGCCAGAAAGAAATCTTATGAGAAACATACTTGCAGGTGGCCGCTAACTTCTGCTGGAACAAGAACGAGTACAAAGGGAACGTCGGTTCCATCCAAGTGCTCGTCCACCTTTCTGAGCATGTCAGAGGTTTCGACTACCAGTGGCTACCATACCCGCAGGTACGTGACTCTTTCTTATCATTAACAAGCATGGCTAATGAAAGTGCTGCAGGCGGCGTCGTTCGATAAGGATAAAGAATGGATCCCAGTACACGTGAACAATACAAAGGGCGACATATCTTCCGGTGTGATCACGTTCGAACGGAAAACAGATTCTTGGAAAGGTCGACGTGAGAAACGAGAAGTCATCAGCCGGATTCGGTGGCAAAGAAAACATGCTTGTCGGACCGGCATGCGCCAGCAACACTATAGTGTTGTGTCGTAAAGCTAGACCTGGATACAAGTTTGATTAGGCATGGAACCAGTCCCCTTTCGAATAAATTAATTTTCTGTACTTCACTTTCTGTATGCATCCAATCCTGCGAAAAAAAGTCTACCACCGTTCCTGTTCTCTTTATGCTCTGAAGTTTGCTTGAAAGATTTGAGCTATTGGAACCGGGCCTCCTTTTACTCAAGTAAAGGCTCCCGTAAAGAAATAAGTCAAAAGTGGACCTCATTGCCTTCTAATCCGAACGCCAAGCATAACGGGATTTACGCATAGTCAAAAGCAATGTTTGAAAATACCTGTAGCCCAGCGCAGTAGAGAAACGAGTGCAATACAAACTTCACGTAAAAGCGATCGAGGGCAAACAAGTCCTTCGTCACCTTATAAGGTTGGTGTGATATTCAAGTCTTCTGACCGAAGATTTTGAAAATTGAAGATCTCGAAGACAAAACCTGTCACACAAAAAAATAACTGGCAATATCCATAACTTCATTCAAAAACGTTGGGCATGTACTGTGCAGAAAAAAAGGCTAAAAATGGTCGTTGATATCCGATGTAAAGTTCACTTAACAGATTCAGAGCAAAGACCAATGACGGTTGCAGCTTCACAAAGTTCACAAGAGGAAAACAGTTACGAATTTCGAAAAAAAACGATATGGTACAAGTCCCGGTCAGAGATGCTCGCCGAGGGCAGCTTTCACTAAAGTATTGCCAGCAAACATGAATGGGGGCCTTGTAAAGGACTTATCAATTGTTTTATTATGTTCTCATCTGTGCAATGATCCACTACCTTTTTAAAGTCTAGTATTATTGAAGTTTCTACAATACTCGGCAACACATTTAGAAAGTTGTTAAGTTCGGTAGTAACAAGTGAAAGAAAGTGTTTAGGCTTCGTTCTTACTTTACGAGTGCGATTTCCAAATTGTGCGACTCTGAGCAAACACGCTTCCTCGCTAGTCGATTGGACAGCTGGAACGGTCAAAAGAGTTCGTCCTTCACTAGACTGGATTAGAAGTCACATCGATAAAGTGATTTGCAAAGGAGCGCGATCGGTCTTAGTTGCGCAATTTTGGAGCCGTGAAGCCGCGAAGTATAAAGACTACCTCAGAGATTTTCACGACACTAAAAATTGCAGCAGCGAACGTTGTCACCATCAAGTTTATTGAGAGCTGTACGTCTCTTCGTAGGAGGAATGACACCTGGGAGTAACTACCTGCGACAAATCTACAGAGGCTCGTCAACTGTTTGATAATCAAAAAGAGACTTAGATATCGAAATAAGTTCTACGATCAATCCCATCGAAGATCGAAAAGGGTAACGCTAACCTTAGCACATCGGCAGGATTTTCAAAGTTGGCTGTGCCGCAGAAGGCCGAAGCGCCAAGCTGTCATTTGCGATTCTACTGGGCTCATAGACTGTACTGCACAAACAGCCTATATAGTAAGGCTGAAATAATGAAAACAGAAAGTTGTGACCCTCTTATCACTCTAGCATACCTGCAGACTAAAGGAATCAGTGATCCCTCAGAGAGAAAATGGCTTCGTCATGTCAACTCGGACCAGTCGCTTGTTTCTCCACTCTAGAGTTGTGTACCAAAGCACAGCAGTGAAATACGAGCATAACTCTGCGTCAAGTATGGCCAGCCGAAA